TAAATGAAACAAGCTGTTCATAAGAATTAAAATCGATCATTTCGATGATTGGCATTGTTACCTACTTGTTGCTTGCTTGTGATTCTATTGTTACAGGGGGATAATTTAAATATTGAAATAATGAGAAACAAAAGAAGCAGAAAATGTATATAAGCAAGTGTGACAGAAGCAAGGGAATTAGTTGTTTTCCATTGAAGAGGAGTTTTATTATTTTTTCAAAAACAAAGTATAAATGAGGAGCAGCATTCAGATGAATAGCAAAAAAAAAGGAATAATTATTTATGAGTAAAATACGAGAAAAAAAAAAGTATTCCTTCAGTCAACTTGAAAAACATTGAATACTCATCTCTCTCCTTTGCTCGACGATAAACTCTTAGGAGAAATTTCCTCATCTTATTATAATTTATAATAACACGAATTTCACTCAACAAACAAGTTTTCTTTCATTACTTATTCAAATAATTTCAGAATAATTCCATAATTATAATGGTTTAATTAAACTATCATTATCTTCTTTTTTTTTGGTGGGGGGAAAAATTCGTCTTTCGCTCGTCTTTTATTGATTTTCTTTCAGAAAACCCCAAGTTATTTAAAGTAATTGGTCCACTGAGAGGCACTATTCACACTATTTGGCAAGTGCCCAGAAATCTTATTACGGACAACTTGTTGCGGTGCTTCCGGTGTGAATCTCAATCTTTCTCACACTGAAAATACACACAATGGAACCAAACGCTTTAGATTTCTTTAAGCTTTTTACCATTTTTGTCTACAGCTGTATCATTATTGACTTGAAAAAATCAAATTGCAACGAATACCAAAAATGTGTGGATCAAATCAAAATTAATTATAATAATTTAGTTGCCGGTTGTCACTTAGATTTTAATTATAGAACTTGACCCGTATGTAAATAAATAAATAAATAAATAATTATTTTCAAAAGTAATAAAATTCTTCGCAAAAATTCAATTAGGTTCAAAAATTTTTTAAATTCTCTTCATAATTTCAATTATCTTTAAAAACAATGAAATTCTTCCCTAAAATACAATTATTGTCAAAAGTTTTAATAAAATTCTTTATTAATTATATTATTAATTTAATATATAATTTATAATATATATATTATTAATTAATATAATAAATAAATTAATTATTCTTTTTATCTATGTATTTTAATAAAATTTTCCAAAAAATTCAATTATTTAAAAAATTTTTAAAAAAAATTCAACCCAAACATATAATTATTTTCATAAAATAATAAAAATTTCACAAATATTCAATTATTTACAAATTATTAAATAAATTTCTTCGCATTATAATTCAATTATTTTTCTAAATAATAAAATTTCACAGGGATTCAATTATTTTTCTAAATAAAAATTTCTCAATTTTTCAAAAATTGAAATTTGAAAAGGTTTCAGATTAAAATCTTTGAAAATTTAAATTTTTCATATTTTTAACTAACAATTCTGTGAAATTAATTTTTAATGAATTTCAGTTAAATAAAACAAATGAATTTGAAAATTCTCAAAAAATTATTAAAAATAATGTATATTTATAGGAAAATTTTAGTTAACAGTAATAAAAATTTAATATTATGGAGAAGTTACAAATTATTGCAGAAATTAAATTTTTTTCATGAGTAATAAAATTCTTCGCAGAAATTTAATTATGTTCAAAAATAGTCAAATTCTTCTTAGAAATTCAATTATTTTCAAAAATAATAAAACTCAATTCAGAATTTCAATTATTTTTAATACAGTTTTAAGGGCATTTGAACCTTGATGACGTCACACATACTTTGCACAAAGTGTAACGTCATCAAGGTTCAAATGCCTTCAATCGAATTTCTCGAAAATTGTAATTATTCTTAAAAATTTTATTAAAATTCGTTGATAGAATTCAATTATTTAAAAATTTATTGATAAAATTCTTTATGAAAATTTGAATTTTAAGAATCATTCAACTGTTCAATAAATTATTTATTTTTGTATTTAAATAATTCAATTCTTATAGCATTTAAATTTGATTTAAAAATGAATTTCAGTTAAAATTTTAGATTACTCTTGAATTTTAAAAGCATTAGAGCGTAAATTTTTAGAAAAAAATTAAATTTTAAATAGATTTCAGATTAAAATCTTTGAAAATTTGAATTTTTCATATTTTTAACTAAAAATTCTGAGGAATTAATTTTTTTTGATAAACTTTAATATTGCGGATTTCTTTTGAAATTATTTAAAGTTTTCAATTTTCTAGTGTATATTTAATAAAAGAATTTACGAGTAATTGAAATTTTGTAAAATTGAATTGTAAACAAATGAATTTGAAAATTCTTAAAGAACTTTTTAAAAAATTATTTTAAAAATTGAATTGATAGAAGATGTTTAGTTAAAAACACGAAAAAAAAATCAATTTTGTAAAAGGTAGGAATTATTGCAAAAATTCAGTTATTTTCAAGAGTAATAATATTTTTCGCAAAAATTAAATATTGTTAAAAAGTAATAAAATTCTTCTTAGGGTTTTAATTATTTTTAAGAAATAATAAAAATCATTGCAGAATTTCAATTATTTTTAATACAATTTTAATCGAATTTCTCGAAAATTGTAATTATTCTTAAAAATTTTATTAAAATTCGTTGATAGAATTCAATTATTTGAAAATTTATTTGATAACGATTCTTTATAGGAATTGAATGTTAAGAAACATTCAATTATTTCAATAAATTATTTATTTGCATTTTATTTGTATTTAAATAATTGAATTCTCGTAGAATTTTCTAATAAAAATTGATTTAAAAATTAATTTCAGTTAAAATTTTAGATTATAATTGAATATTAAAAGCAATATAGCGTGAATTTTTAAAAATAATTCAATTTCTTATTATTATTTGAATTTTTTATTTTCTAATATATATTTAATTGAAGAATTTGCGGATAATTGAAATTTGTAAAATTGAATATTGTAAATAAATGGATTTTGAAAATTGTCGAAGAACTTTTTTGAAAATTAATTGATTTAAAGAAAAATTTTAGTGAAAAATTTTTTAAAAATAATAATTGAATTGAAGTGATGAAAATAATTTTGAAGTAGGTACAATATTCTTATAATATAAAAATAAAATAATGATTTTATCAATTTTCCATTTTTAGCTATTATAAAACATGAAGAAATCGATCGCTCCGAGTCGAAGACTCGGAGTTATCGATATCTTCATGTTTTATAGTTATGAAAAAATTTAATTTATTCTTTTAAGTAGAATGTTTTATTTTTCTTGTTGGTCCGTATTTTTAAATATTTTAATTTACTTTCAGGAAAACTGTGATCATTATCGATTCTCCTTCTTCTGAATATGGTTAACAGGCTAATTGACAATAATTGAAATATAAATTGAAATATAAAAAAATCCATTAATTAAAAAATTCTAAATGGAAAATGAAATTACTATTTTATGGATGACACATTTCGGTGGTTCACTTTATTTTATTTTTTTTTTTGCTTTAATGGGATCATTAATCAGCTTTTTTAACAGGTTTAACATTGCCAGTTGATTTTTATTACTAATTTATGGATTGAAAATTGAACTTTGTGAGTTTCGCCGGGCATTCGAGTAGTGAAATTAAAAAATCAACGTAAATGCCTCTGGAAAGCTTTGTTACATTGAAACAGGGCGTGGTCGAGTGAAATTGAATTAAGCCCAACGCACCCTGTGGCCTACCACAAGCTTGCACGATTTACCGGGTATCCGTATAACATATATATATATATATACAAATTATTCTGTAGCTCATAAAATAAAAGGTGAAATTTTTTTTTCCACCCAAATTTATGAATCAAATTTTTAAGGTAAATGTTTATCTGAAAATTTACATTTAATTAAAAGCAAGAAAAAAAAAGAGAAGGAGAAACAGTTGTCATTGTGGCACAATACAAATTTACAGGGATAGTATTAAAAGTCGCTGTGTGTTTTTATGTTGGCAAATGAAATAAAAGATAAAAGTGTCTGCGATGGCAAAAGACTTGTTTATGCGTAAACTCGATTAAAGGTTTTACGATTTTTACTTTAATGACAAGTTACTTTAATGACTTAGTTTAATTTATGACAACCATTTCATGAAATCTAATTCACGATAATTTCATTTTTTATTTTCCTCATTGCTTTTTGTTACTTTGGGAAAATGGTGATGTCACTTCGGTATTATTTGAATTTCATGTAGGTCTCGACGTAAGAAAATATTTTTCTTTCTGTGAAATTAAAAAAAAAATTTAGTTATTTTAAATTAATTTTAAATTTTAGTTATTATTTCTCAACTCAATTTTTTACTTTTTACGCATTTTAAGTAAATTTACATTTATTTTCATTTATTTGAATTAAAATTAGAAGAATTTTCATTAATAGCAGAATTACAGGACAAAAAATCTAATTAAAAAAATGCAGACCGAAAAATTTAAGAAAAAAAGTCCAAAGTAGAAAAAATCGAAAATAAAAATGTCCAAAGTCAAAAAATCGAAAATAAATAAAAACGTCCAAAATAAATAATAAAACATTTAGTTTAATTTAACTCAATTTAGTAATTTAGTTGTCGACTTTTCATTAATTTAGATTTAGAAAGCAGAGCAAAATTAAAAAATTTGTATTGAACATAAAAAAAAATAATTAAAAAAGTAACTAAAAGTACATTTTAGTTAGTACAACAATAAAATTTTGTACTTTAATTTTTTTTTTTGAGAATACATTTGTTTTTCTGCAGTGTTTGTAATTTAGTAAATTTTCTGTTTCAGATTAAAGAACAATTGGAAACAGTGTAATTAAACGGAAAAGGAATTGACTGGAAAAGTGGAAAATTGACTGGAAGAGGCATGCTCTTGTTGCGAATTGGGGAGCCGGGTGGCTCGCATTTTTCGCGAATCTATCACGAATGTCAGAGACGTGAAGTAGAATACAGTGGTCCGCGATAAAACGACGCAGGCAGCCATTCTGAAAAAAACCACTGCATTGGCAATTTTTCTTTTTTCTTTTACTTTTATGAATTTTATCAGGATTGTAGTCGTAGAATTCTCTTCAAATCAGCACGTGCAACATAAGATTCGACAGAATGTTGCCCACCAACGTTATGTCTTTTATGAAAAAGGTGAGTTATGCAATTTTATATTATTTTTTCTACTTACGTTTAAAAAGAAAAAATTTACAATTCATTGATTAAAAAATTTAGAAAAAAACATTTTTTGTGCGAAAAAATACTAATTTTGGTTATTATTTGTATCATTGAATTTAGCGTCGAAAATTATTCCCTATTTGGGATTTTTAGAGATAAAAGTGACACTAATTTCAATTTTTATATTCGATATAAAAATTATAATTTTTATAATTTAATTTAATTAATAATTAATTTAATTTAATTTTTTTTTTAATTATAATTAAAGTGAAAATTAAATTAAGAATATTGTACTTCTTCAAAATTATTTTCATCATTTCAATTCAATTATTATTTTTAAGAATTTTTCACTAAATTGTTTCTTTAATATTCAATTTTATAAATTTCAATTATTCGTAAGTTATTCAATTAAATATATATTAGAAAATAAAAACGTCTAATAATATTAAAAAATTCAATTATTTTTAAAAAATTCACGCTATATTGCTTTTAATATTGAAATATAATATAAAATTTTAATTTTTAACTGATAATTTAATTTAAATTAAAATAATTTTTAAATCAATTTTCATTAGAAAATTCAACGAGAATTCAATTATTTAAATACAAATAAAATGCAAATAAATAATTTATTGAATAATTGAATGTTTCTTAAAATTCAATTCCCATAAAGAATCGTTATCAATAAATTTTCCAATAATTGAATTCTATCAACGAATTTTAATAAAATTTTTAAGAATAATTACAATTTTCGAGAAATTCGATTAAAATTGTATTAAAAATAATTGAAATTCTGCAATGATTTTTATTATTTTTGAAAATAATTGAAACCCTAAGAAGAATTTTATTACTTTTGAACAATATTTAATTTTTGCGAAAAATATTATTACTTTTGAAAATAATTGAATTTTTGCAATAATTCGTACCTTTTACAAAATTGAATTTTTTTTCGTGTTTTTAACTAAACATCTTCTATCAATCCAGTTTTTAAAATAATTTTTTAAAAAGTTCTTTAAGAATTTTCAAATTCATTTGTTTACAATTCAATTTTATAAAATTACAATTACTCGTAAATTCGTCAATTAAATATATACTAGAAAATAAAAACTTTAAATAATTTTAAAATAAATCCGCAATTAAAGTTTTAAAAAAAAATTAATTCCACAGAATTGTTAGTTAAAAATATGAAAAATTCAAATTTTCAAAGATTTTAATCTGAAACCTTTTTAAAATTCAATTCTTAATTCATTTTTTTAATTCATTTTTAAATAAAATTTTTTTAGAAAATTTTACAAGAATTGAATTATTTAAATATAAAAAATAAATAATTTATTGAATAGTTAAACGATTCTTAAAATTCCAATTCTCCTAATGAATTTTATGAATAAATTTTTAAATAATTGAATTCTTTTAATGAATTTTAATAAAAATTACATTTTCCAAGAAATTCGATTAAAATTGTATGAAAAATAATTGAAATTCGGCATTGAGTTTTATTATTTCTGAAAATAATTGAATTCCTAAGAAGAATTTGACTATTTTTGAACATAATTAGATTTCTGCGAAGAATTTTATTACTCTTGAAAACAATTGAATTTCTGCAATAATTTGTAACTTCTCCGTATTAAATGTTTTTTAGTGTTAACTAAAATTTTTCTATAAATCCATTATTTTTAATAATTTTTTGAGAATTTTTAAATTTATTTGTTTTATTTAACTAAAATTATTTTTTAAATAAATTTTTATTATAAAATTCTACTAGAATTCAATTATTTAAAGACAATAAATAATTGAATTCTATTGTGAAGAACTTTATAAATAGTTTGTAAATAATTGAATTTCTGTGAAATTTTTATTATTTTATGAAAATAATAGATATTGAAAATTATTAAATTGAGGAAAATTTTTGAAAATAATTGAAATTTTGCCAAGAGTTTTATTAAAATTTTTGATAAGAATTGAATTTTTACGAGAATTTTATTATTTATAAGGATAATTGAAATTTTTTGAGAATTTTCAAATTCATTTGTTTTATTTAACTGAAATTCATTTTTAAATCAATTTTTCTTATAAAATTCTACTTGAATTCAATTATTTAAATAAAAAGAATAATTGAATTATATTGCGAAGAAATTTATAAAAAATTTGTAAATAATTGAATTTTCCTGAAATTTTTATTATTTTATATAAATAATAGATATGAAAATTATTAAATTGTGGAAAAGGTTTGAAAATAATTGAAATCTTGCCAAGAATTTTATTAAAATTTTTTAAAATAATTTTCGAGAAGAATTTTATTATTTATAAGGATAATTGAAATTTTTTTGAGAAATTTCAAATTAATTTGTTTTATTTAAATGAAATTCATTTTGAAATCAATTTTTATTATAAAATTCTACTTGAATTCAATTATTTAAATATAAAAAATAATTGAATTATATTGCGAAGAAATTTATAAAAAATTTGTAAATAATTGAATTTCTGTGAAATTTTTATTATTTTATGAAAATAAGAGATATTGAAAATTATTAAATGTAGAAATTTTTTGAAAATAATTGAATTTTTACGAGAATTATATTATTTTTAAGGATAATTGAAATTTTGACGAGAATTTAAAAAAATTTTTGAACATAATTGAATTTCTGCTAAGAATTTTATAACTTTTGAAAATAATTAAATTTCGCAATTATTTGTAATTTCTGTAAAATTTTCCAAATTATATCGTACAATTTACGAACTTTTTGTCCTTTTTTAATGAAATTACGGATCTAGTTCGAGCCCTGAAGTAACCATATTAATAATATAATGTTAAAAAAATTATTTCACCGAATTTATATTCTTTCTAATTAAAAATCACTAAAATTTAGTAGAATTCATGTGAAAATTGTATAGAATAGTTCTAGTAAAATTCTACAGAATATTCATTAGAATTCATATAGAATGATTCTATAGAATGATTTTAGTGAAATTCTATAGAACTTTTTCAGCTGGGTATCTCCTGTATGTAGAATAAAAAAAAAATTCCTAAATGGAAAATAAAATTATTTCTATAAATTAATAATCGAGGTATTTTCTCCCATGAAGAACTTTAATCCTATGAAAGTAAATCCCAAGATCAACACCTTGTTCAAATATCCGAGTATTACATGCACTCATAAATTGTAGTTGTCAAGCAGCATACAATAGCGAAAATCTCTCCCCGGATGGAAGCACATTCATTCATAAAGTCCACTTGAATACAATTGTTATGCTATTCATGCATGACACGCTATGAAAATGCAAAAAATGAAAGTGTCTCAATTTATTTTCTTAAAAAAGAAAATTGATTTAGTAGAATTTTATTTAAATGGCACTTATATTTTTCAAAAAAAAAAAAAAAAAATTCAATTATGCATAAAAAATAAAAAAAAAATGCTTCTGGACCTGGAAGAATTAGATTCAAGCGTGCGCGCTTTTGAAAACAATCTATGAATGATTGAGTGAAAAAAACTACCTCCAAAAGATCACGTATCGAAAGAGAGAATTCGTGCACAGACTTGTGATTTTTATACTTTTTCCCCGGGAAAAAGAAACGCGCGTTTCTATTTCAGTCCTAAATTCTTTCTGAAAAGTTGAAAATGAACTTTAAACCACTAAGTGAGTGATACCCTCATCGTCATCTTAGATCTTTCTAAGATCTGTGTGTGTGTGTGCTGCACCCTAGAGTCACTACTTTCAACTTTTTCTTACCTCATCAAAGTAAGTCTTAAGAAAAAGTTCCTTTTTTCTTCGAGGAAAAAAATAATAAAAAAAAAAACATTATCAAGTTTTCTTTAAGAATAAAGTTTCTCTCTAAGTTAAGAATAATCTATAGAAATATCAAGTTACCGAAGGAAGTGCAATTTCACTTTTTCACGGTTGACTTTTCGAGGTTTTTTTCCCCCCTTTTTTTTATTAGATCTGAAAATTGTTAATTAACAAGTTAATTACTTAAATAAGTTATTGATTTTTTGAAATCTATTATTTGTTGGGAAATAATTTTTTCTGTTGGAAATTTTATTCTCCTTTTCACTTTTAGAGATTATATGTAAATTCAATTTTGCTACGAATTTCATTTTCACTTTTAGTTTCAGTTTCATTTCGATATTTTCACTTTAACTAACACTTTTATTAAAAGTGAAAATAAAAATCTATTAAAGTGAAAGTGAAATTGTAAATGAAAGTAAAATATTCTTATAGAAGTGAAAATGAAAGTGAAAATGAAAGTGAAAATAAAAGTATATCAAAGTGAAAATGAAAGGGAAAATAAAAATTTATCAAAGTAAAAAATTAAAAATGCAAGTACATCTAAAAATTTATCAAAACTTAAGTGAAAATAAAAGGAAAAATAAAAAATTTATAAAAGTATAATTCTATAAAAATTTATAAAAATCAGTTAAGATTTAAGTGAAAATGAAAATAAAAATCTGTCAAAGTGAAAATGAAAGTGAAAATGAAAGTCAAAGCAGAAATGAAATTACATTTTTTGACCCTTAAAAAAAGTAAAATATATTTGACTCAGAGTCTACTGAATTATTTATTTGTTTCAAATAAAAATTTTACTTGTTGTAAATAAACTTTTTATTTAGTGTAAATAAAATTATTATTTGATTGAACTAAAATCGTTATTTTGTTGAAATAAAATTTTAATTTAGGTAGTACACAATGTATTTGTTTTCATTTCGTTTGATTTTCATTCATTTCTCTCTAATTAACAAAAGAAATATAAGAATATGACATTTTAGAGAGCAATTCCAGTATAAGGAATAAAGAGAGAGAGAGAGAGAGAGAGAGAGAGAGAGAGAGAGAGAGAGAGAGAGAGAAAGGAAAAAAGAGGGAGACAGAAAATTTATTTTTAGAATTTGACTAGTTTTGAATTGCACAAAGTAATCGAATAAAAATTGACATTTCTGATACGTATGGCAAATATGGTTTGTGAATAAAAGTGATTTTGATGC